TTTTGAAATAAACAGTGATAGGCCAGAAGAATAAAAACAATTTTGAAGGATTATGGGGAGCGCGTCACAATAACCAAAGATTTCTTTTATCATAATTAAGACTGCCAAGGTCACTGCTAACAATTTTCTTTGCACTACACGCAGACAGAAAAGTTGCCGATAGATAATAATTATCGAGGCAATTGAGTAATTGGAATATCAGCAGAGGTTTTCTGCAAAAAAGATTGAATGCAGGCAAAAACAGCGCCACTGTCCCACAAAGTCATTCAAGACGACAGATGTAAACGATTTTTAAATACACTGAAAATGTACAATATAGTAGATGTTTGAAAAATTAATAAATCAATAACACATATTACTTTGGAGGGGCATCACCACCACCGAAGCTTGCAGACCATCCATTGAGAGGCCAACTGATAAACCGTTCCGTGGCCATATATTCTTTAATTTTTGGCAGCGCCTGGAAAGAATATTGAGGACAATGAGCAAAATATCACAGAAAATGGCAGCAATATAAGGTAAAAAGACATACCTCAAAGCGTTCGATGTACTGCTTGAGATTGCGATGCTTCTTAAAGGTGGAAGGCTCGAACATTTGAAAAACACAGAGGTTTTCGTAGAGTAAAAAGTCTATGTATGTGATCTGCAGAAAACAAAATCACATTTTCCAGGAGCAGCGGCACAAAACAGCAAGATGATGTAATTTAGGAAGTAAATGAACAGGAGAAAACTTACTTTGTCACCCATTATCCACTTCTTACAGCCGAGATAATTCTAGATATCTTCGATGCCCTTTTCAAATTTAGGCATAAACTCTGCTTGTTCTTGTTCCTAGAGCAACCTAATAAAGAAGGTTGAACAAACATACGTAGTTTGAGCTGTAAGCAATGCGGCCAAAAGCAATTCGTATATCTTTGATCGCGGCTTCAGCCATGGCAATTTCAGCCTGTTCTTTCGCGCCCTTGCCTCCGAGACCATGTTTCTCACCCAGGTAACGCAGAATAACGCTTGACTGGGCGAGCTTTACATCTCCGTCGATGATATATGGAAGCTGAAGTGGTATGCCTATCAGACATTCAACTTACGTTGGGAAAGCCAATGCCAAGATTGTATTTTATTTTTTTCCATTCTTCGAACTCACCTTTTCCGAATCTCTTTTCTTGATAATCTTCTCCGACATACTCGAGCAGAAGGCGGATAGGTTGCGCTAACTGCGATAAACAGAAAATATTCAAGTAGGTTCGATTTTGTAGATCTAGTAGCAAATATACACCGACTACAGCATATTTATAGGCTTTCACGCTTAAATATTTAGGATATATTTCTACATATTTATACTCTGCCAGCAGAGGCGATGCGGGATGCCGGGGGAAATTCGGGGTAATGTGCGGATGAAGAATTTTGATTCACGAATTATATTTACAGTTACAAGTTTTTTTTCGAAATATACTGTGCTATCAATAAATTATCAGTAACCTTTTGCTGATAAAACAATCAATTCGGCGGCTTAAAAATGAGCATACTGGGCGTCCCGCTGCGAAAAATTTTTTCCGAGGTGGGGAAATACGGATTGAAATCTCCGTCGTGTGCTCCATCCAATGTATACGTATACATTTGTCTCCCTATCTGGGGAGACGGAAACTTATCAAAAAAGCTGATAGCCAGAAGGGCAGGGCATAGAATTCAAATGGGAAATTATGGGATTGTTACATGCGAAAGAAGTTTAACAGAAAATAATTACGAACCCCACGAATACTCCAGTAGCCAAGTTGAATCGGAGCCATGACCAACAGAGGCTAATTAAAACAAACTATTTATAGTGGGAAATGCTGTTGTGGACCACTAAAACAAACCTAAAGATCAAGAAAATTGCATTTTGACCTTGACCCTTCTGAAAATCGAAGCCGCTGTAAATAATACGTTCTAGAATTTAAATGAACGTGCTATGTTTGTGACTTCCTGTCCGTACCTGCATCATTCGAAAATATATACATGAGGCTAATCTAGACTGGCGTACAAACACGCAGATTTCAATATGCCGTTGATTAAGACAGTTTTGCAAATAAGCTCATCCCGTAAGAACTCTACTATTCCCCCAATTAGTTGTAAAT